TTCTTAAACCAAACTCCTTATGCCTCCGAAATTCTCATTAAGGTAGGTATGGAAGACTTCAAACTAATGGCCAACCCAATAGCATCTCAGTAAACTCTTGAACAAGGGCTCCAACAACCAGTTACCAACCCATCACTCTACAGACATTTAATAGGCTCACTACAACACCTAACCATCACGCGGCCAGATATCAATTTTGCTATCAACATGCTCTCTCAATACCTTCAACAACCATTATGCATTCACTTCTACCAACTCAAGCGCCTCCTAAAATATATAAAAGGCAACATCGATTTCAGTCTCCCAATCAACCAGGCTCCCATAGTCTTCGCAGTTACTCCAATTCAAGCTGGGCAAACGATACAACAGACAACTGTTCTATCACCGGCCACTGCACCTTTCTGGAGTCCAGCCTCAAACCTTGGCAAGTGAAGAAGCAACCCACAGTCGCCTGCTCGTCCATGGAAGCCACTACCGAAGTCATATGGTTACGTAGGCTACTCAAGTAGCTTCAAGTTCCCATCACCTCAACAACAACCATACATTGTGACAACACCTCAATTGTGGCAATCCCTCACCATCCCATCTTCCATGCCTGCCCAAAGCACGTCGAAGTAGACTATCACTTCATTGGGAGAAAATTATATCCAAAGAAGTCATCAGAACTCACAATTATACCAAGGATCAGACGACCGACATCTTCACCAAGTCCCTTCCTACAACTCGCTTCCTTCTTCTTCGGGACTAGCTATCACTTCAAAAACAAAGCATAAGCTTGAGGTAGGTAATAACAAATATTCCTCTTTATCAGATACACACTTTTCCCAAACTACCCACTCATAAACTGTTTCTAGAATACTCTTTTTATGCTTTATAACTTTGTACCAGTACTATACTGGGTGTGGCTTTTCAACCTTACAGGCATTGCTCTCCACTGGAGTTGCTCTTTACTTTTCTCAGAATGGTGTAAATCCTCTTTTCTTCTTACAGCTTACCAGCAGTGTGATTACTATATTACTATTTTTCTTCCTGCTTACTTCTGTTTCTTCCATTTCAATTTCAAGGGCTTCATCTCTATTAGATAGACATTAAAAGTGTTTATCGCAATAGTATTTTTGACAAAGATGTTTTTGTTGAATAGCCCATAAGTTTTGAGAATTATTCATCTTGATAATGTTTTGGAGGTTTAAATATGAATCAATCTAACCACTTAATAAATCAAGGTCATAAAAACCCCCATGAGCCAATCTACCCACTTGATAAAAACCTAAATGGAAAATTTGTAAATTTTTAGTAAGAATTTATAATAGGTTCTTTGTTCTACCACAGAATAGACCCGATATCATGTTTAATGCATATTTGTGTGATACATTTTAAAGAGACACGTTTGGTCACAGTAAATTGCATATTTAAACTAAAGATATCTTGTTTAACGTCTTTTTATCAGATCCACCCACGAATCATACCATAAGACTTTCTCAACCTTCCCGAAACAAACTAATCAAACGATACAATTACGATAAAATAATATAATTATTAAATAATAAATAATTTATCTTAAATTCTATTAACAATTAATTGATTAAATTTTGGAAAGCTAATTAATGACTATATGATGTTATTGAATGCGGTGGTGATGGTTTGAAGTTTAAATGTCTTCTAAATAACTCTACAAACAAGAAGTTAATTAAAAACAAAGGGAAAAAAATCCTACACCAAGTCATTCTCTCCTTTCTCAAAACCAGTTCCTTCACTAAGAAATTCATTTTTGAGAACTTCAAGTGCTATTTTGTAGTAAATTTTAGATAATAGTTTGTTATTCCTCTTGAAAATAATATTATCTAATGGCTTGTGTTAGAAGTAATTGATAATGCAAGTTTAAGTTGAGACAAAAAGGATATAAAACAAGTCGAACATAAATGACTTGGGTGTATGTTCGTGTTCGGCTCATTTGAATTTATTTATTTTCAAAATCGGCTAATGTTCAAAATTATTCCTGAATGCCTTATTTGTGTTCAATTTGTTTTAACATAATTGTGTTTGTTCATCTCTTACTCAACTCTAAATTAATTTCAATTGATTAAAAATTTTAATTCTTGAATGTTTTATTTTTTAATAAAAGAAACACTCCGTAACTCAAAAACATAGATTATAATCATGTTAACATAAAGCTTTATCCAAAAATTATAAAAAAGACGAAACAAATCTTTATGCTTCACATTTCTCCAAATAATTATTAATCTCATACAAATAAGGTTATGGAAAAGCCAACAATATATTAAAAATACAAAATCATAGAAAAAATTATATAAACAAATATATATACATAAGTGTTTTTTTGTGGGATTAAAGCTTTGTTGTTGTTGTTGTTGTATGTGTTTTTTTTTTGTGTGAGTTTAAATGAGCCAAAAAATATCAAATAAAAGTCTAATTGTATTTGATTCATTTATAAATCAAACTCAAATGACCTGCTCATGTTCGACTTACTTATTTAGTAAAAAAATCAAATATAGGCTTTAGATCGACCTGAACAAGCATTTTTAGAACAATGAGCATTTTTGACTTAGGTCATTTCCAACATATTTTTAATTTGCTTGATTCAAGCAAATATGGAATATATTGTATGCAACCTCATGCTATGAGACCATCACAAGCTTACTTTGAGTGAAAACCACCTCAGCATCAATGACACACAGTCAATTTTACTAACCCTTCCGTCTACCATCATGGTCATGAGTTTCTTATTGTGCTCTAGCCAAAAAATTATACAACAAAAAAAAAAAATCATACTAACTTTTCAGTCATCTTCATACTAACTTTTCAGTCATCTAAAACAAAAAATGAATAAATAAATAAACTCCCAAATTTAGTTTACATCTCTACTTAAACACCATGAAGTATTTTATATGATTTGAATTTATACTATAGTACATTTAAGATGCACTTAAATTTTAAGTGCTCGCAAAGAAACAACCCTATAGAGTATTTCTGTATGGTTCATTTCTAAAAAAATTGGAATTTTCTATTCGAATCAGGTGAATTACAAATTCAACGGTAAAGAAATTGTAACATAGAAACCCCTTACCGGCAACCAAGAAACCCCTCACCACCATCCAAACACCCTTGCACGAGCAAACATAACACTACACAAGCGACCACTACCTACCATGCTTGACCATCATTCCAACAACCTAAGCTGACCACGCCCCTCCACCATCATCTTTACACTCATAATCCCTCACTAAAAGCCCTGACGAGGCATCCACAACCACCATTTGTGCAATCCCCACCATCTAAATGTAAAAATAAAGGTGTTGGATTGAATGTAATTTATTGAGTTTGAAATATATCACATCATTCATTTTCAAAATATTATAAATTCCTTATTCAAGAGAACTCAAACAAAAAGAGTGTGCAGCCTTGCACTATGCAACCTCACACTGCGACAGCAATGATCACTCAACTTTTGCACTAGCAACCTATGACCTCCAATCCCCATAATCTCTAAGCCATCAACCCATTCTAACTATAAGAAGCAACCCACACACAACCCGTATGCTCGTCAATACCAGTCCCTTCCATTTGTCATCGTTGTAGACCGCTTATTATGCCCAAATCAAAATACTTTACATAAACAAAAAAAAATTATTTACTTTCAATTATCCAAACACCTAAAAAGTAAACTCTTCGGGTTAATTTTACACCTAACCAAACACCACATGTTAGTTAAAATATATTAACCTTATTTTTCATTGCATCTAAAATATACCTAAATTTTAAATAATTGTAACTAAACAACATACTAGAGAAGTTCTTTAAAAATTATAAAACACCCCTTGCAGATAATATTTTGAAGAATTTGGAATATGTTTGCCTAAATTAGACAGATTCCAAATTCATTACCTGTCAAGCTGCTTGCGACACAAAACCCCTTTAATAACAACCAAACAAACACATGTCACCATCCTAACACTCCAACACAAGTGACCACAAACCCACGCCGAATACCTCTAACTACCATGTACCACGATCATCGGCTTTGACCCCACATCACCATTCTTGCACTCATCATCCCTAGACCCAATCCTTGCATCGACAACCCTAACAAAGAATCCGCACCCATTATCTGAGCAATCCTTGCCATGCACAACTACTATCCATCCAAGTTTTTGATTGAAACAAAAAAAGAAATTTATTTCATGTTCAACCAACCAAAAAACAAAAAAAATGAGCTTATTTTACAAAATATCTAACAACCTTAAGAAAATCAAAACACAAAATATTCAATCTACACTACCAATGAAATGCCCAAATATCATAAATACTTGGAATCAACAATCCCTCAAGAAAATTGGAAATAACATATATAAACAACACTAAAATACCTTTATTCCAAAACTTGAAAATATTGTTGGCAAAAACATTTAAAAGCAACATAGTTTCACATGATTTTCTTTATACGATTCTATTGAACTATCACAAGTAAAACAAATGGAACGGGCTTATTAAAAGACATTAAAATCACACATAATCAGGTTAAGAGGCCATATGATTAGAAAGCTTAACAATCACAGCATAAGATGCATTCAGTGAGGTTAACTTTAATGTAAACATTTTAAAATTTTACAAACCAATGTCCCACTTCATTTAATTCAATACTTGCTTCAATAATTAAAATGAAATCCTTTAACTTGGATTTACTAAAATGTAATTCATGCAAAATATGTGCATCATGATGGTATTTTTTAGAACACTTGTATTTAGAAAAACAAGCACAACCTTTTGGTTAAGTAATTTTTTCAGTTCATGAAAATCAACATCAGGTTGTAAAGGACAAAGCGGCTTAATCAACATGGATAATTAGCACACTGCTTTGTTATAAATGGTTGTTTTTATGGTGAAGGGACTAAGACCGTATATGACCAAATAAATACCCAGCTACCAAAAGGATAAAAAATGATGAGTACAAAGAGAAATTTTGAAAAACCAGAGAAGCTGACCTTCTCACTGGCCGAGCAAGAAGATTTCAATTTGCAATCCCTCTCATTTAAACATTCATGCAACGAAACAATCTCTTCCTCCAAAGTTTTAGCTTTTGTCTCTGCTACCTGAGGAGAAGATTGTTCAATTTGTACACCAAAAGGAGAGAAAAAAAAATCATGAAAAATCATGCAAATTACTAAACTACCTGTCTTAATTGTAACTCTTGGGTCAACGATTCCTCTCTTGATGCCAGGCGATTCCGGACATCCTTAAGCTCTGCTGTCAAAGAAACAACATTCCTCCTAAAGCTAAGTTTCTTTTCGTTAAGATCCTTTAATAATGGATCCAGTTCTAGGGATGAAGAAGACGAAACTGCTTTCTCGCTCTCCACCATCAAAAGCTCAAAAAGTTCAACGAAGAAGAAGACAGTCAAATTTTTTCCCCAAAGAGAAACAAACGTCACTCCCCAGAGATCAAATGACGTTTTCTTCAATTTTTTTCACGAAACAAAGCCCGTTGATACATAAACCTCAACATCAAAGCAGAAGAAGCTTTATCTATATTATATTGCTCGCAGGCCAACCCAGGCAACCGAGTTGAATTTAAAAGTCACTGAACATGGATTTTACCCCCGGAAAATTCTATTTTTTTATCTTTCGATAGCTCCCGTACAAATTACTTTCACATCTCTGCATGCCAGTAAAAAGAAGCGTGACCAGTCCTACCAAATCCTGACTTATTTATGAATTAAAAAAAAAGGGAAATTAAACAAATGATAACAAATCAAAGCCTCCTGCTGCTAAACTAGAATGGAAGATTTTACATTTTTCTCACATGCAGATCACGAGAAGTGCGTTTCTTACCTATTAAAACGCTCTAAAGCGTATACCACAGAAAAAAAATACAAGCTGATGCCTCCTCGGTGCAGCTCCAAAAACCCCACTGGATTTGGCGTTAAACAGCAGACAAGTTCTATTAAAATCACCGTCTTCACCCTTTTCCTCTCCTCAAACGCAGTCAATTTTAATCCTCTTGCTTAGGAACACCAGAATCCGACGAATCAAAGCAACTGATAAAATCTGAGATCACTCCTTCACTTCCAGCTCTGAAAACAGCACGATAAATAGTTTTAATTAGGGTTTTCTCAGCAGGAGCGGCTGGGGGGGGATGGGGGGGGCCGGGTAGGTGTCTTTTTTTTTTTTTTTTTTGAGTTAACAATTACTGTTCGGAATCCCGCGCGGCAGATTCCAAATTTCGACCTCTGCGACCCTCGTCCGTACACGTGACTGTTTTGCAAGCCGATGGATCCACGGATGAATTATGGCCATTGATCTAGGGAGGGCTTTAATGGCGACCGGCGAGATATTTGGTCGCGAGCGTGTACTCTCTCCATGTGTTCGAAATCAAGGAAATTTCAAATTCATTAGATGTTAAACCGTCCACTTCAATACTTATGTGGTTATTAATAACAATTTATCATGCCTTCAATTGGGTGCGCTTAATATTGATGAAGAAATTATTATGTTTTGCGTTGATATTCCAAGTGACTATTTAGTTTCTTAGAGTATTTTATTTTAACTAAGTTAATTATTAGTTATATATTTTCAATCAAATATATTTTATATGCACTATTTCATTTAGTTTTTTTGAAAAAAAAATTAATCGAAGTGGCTTAATGAAGGTCACCTGTCAAAATTGTTGAATAAAACTCACCTGTTGAAGTGGTTGAATCAAGTTGACATGTCAAAGTGGTTGAATCGAGCTCATCTGGTGAAGTGGTTAAATCTCGTCTCTCCCAAAACATTGACCTAGACTACTTAGGGAAGGACATTACTAAAGAAGGTTGTCATTATAATCCAAGGGCGCATGTCCTTCCTTCTTTAAAGGTGTCGCCTGACATCCACGTCTAAATCTTTTTATCAAGACACCATGAATGAGTGTCGTGCTATACTAAGTGTAGTTAATATTATTTTTCCCTTTTTGCATAACTCTCTCTCTCTCTCTCTCACCCTGTCTCACCCTGTCTCTTTAATATTTGTAATTCGGAAAACCTACTATGAGTTATTTTTTTTCCGGCTTGCCAGAGGTTCAAGCATGGTATACGATCCCTGAGATCTTCTCTCAAATCTCATCATCATCTCTCTCTCTTATAAATGTTTTACAAATACAAGGTCTTTACATTATTGTATGTACTCACGGACAATAAGACCCTCTGCATCATAAAAGGATTCAACATCTTGAAAGGTAATATGAGCGTGGATTTCTTACCCTAACTTTGCAAGAAGATATTTCTTGCATAGAGAAAATGAAGGAGAATGATGGAAAACACCAAAAAGTTTGTGATACAACAAATCAAGGAGCTAAGAAGACATGTATTAAAGGTCGTACATGATGTAAGTGAGGCGTCCGAATTTCATTATTGAGTCCAGCAAAAAACTCATATTGGATTGTTAGGATCAGTGGCTTGTTGACAAGAGTCATCGAGGCAAAAACTATCAGAGCAAAACTTTCCTTGAGTCAAACCAAGGAGAGCTCTTTGCATAATCCTCAAGAGAGAAGAAGTAGGGAGGGACATCCTTAATCGTTCATAGGAAGAAGAGCCTACTACAACCTCAGTCAGGGTGGAAAGAAGAAGATGAAAGAGAAGACTTACTTCTGAGTATTTGTAAGAATAAATCAAGGTAAAAGAAGAACGAAAATATCATTAAAGAATGCATTCTTAAGGGTGATTTTGGAAGTCGAGTCACCAATAAAGTTTAAGATTTTACCTTTGTAATCTTATAAAAAGAAATTTGATCCCACCAAGCACTGGCTTTAATCGAGTCAGACGCCTATCTACTTAGAAAAAATGATGTTTTGAAGTTCATATATTTGATGAGTAGTATTTCGAGCCAAAAAGAGCCGAACATGAACGAGCACATCTTAGTTCGTGTTCGGCTCGTTAACTTATCGAATGAAATTAACGAGCCGAACACGAGCTTCTTAACGAGCCGAACACGAGCTGTTCGCGAACAACGAGCCGTTTTGACAGCCCTATGTGCATATCATTAGGATCATTGTTAAGGCAATGAAGTGTCTATAACTTCATTAGTTAATCAAAGAACTAATCAAGGTTGGAAAGCTAAAAAAGTTCGTAGCCCCAGAAGTTCAATGGTAAGTCTCATTGAAGGTAATGGCCAAGAACCCATTCCCATAAGGCTAATCCACATCATCAACATTATGACAACTATCTTACGAGAGGATAAACCCATGGTCTGTCCTAAAGAGATTAAAGATAGGAGAGTAAATTAGAATCCTCCCTCCTTATATAAGAAGACTTTTTAGGTCCACACACCCTCTCTAAGGTTTCCTCTTCCATCCTCTTTTATAGCTCTTTCCAAACTCACCTTGAAATTTCTTGCTAAAACTAATATGGTCGGGTCATGAAGCGACCATACCCAACTTGTCATGACTATAGCATACTTCGTATGGTCACGCCAATTCCTGGTGTAATTACATTAAGCATGCAATATCTCTGGTGTAATTACATTGCAGTATGACGCAATTACGCAAATCAACTCGTTAGCGTAGTTCATTTTTTAGTTCCATGACACACGTTCAATGCTTATAACCTGAAAAATACCATTATAAATCCTTCACAGACATAAAATCATGATAAATATGAAAGAAATTATAATAATTTAAATGGTAAAATAACATATATTTATCTCATGTAGATGATATACAAATCCCCTCACTTGTCACCTTCATAGATGTCGATCTTTCCAATTTTGAAAATTTTTTCAATGATATCGTTTTTTATTTTTTGAAAGGGTTAGGGTGCTTTATAGAGTCAAATAGATTCAAAGTTTTAATTATTTAAATAAACAAACATGACATCACAAGTAATAGAGAAAAGGTGACCTAAAAATTGATTTGGTAAAAAATTAGTCGGTTCAGATATTGCTTGGGAAGAAATCAGTGAGGAATGGCGAAACATTTGACAATTGCCAATTGCACGATAAGAAGCTAATCCATACAAATTTAGTTGATTAGAAAACGATATGGGCGCAATCATTATTTCTCAATATCTATTAGATCGCTACATAAATAGATGAATGTTAAATGAGAGGAGTTATATCAAACAAAATATGTTCTTATTTAAATTTATTACGTTCTGTCATTCTCTTTCCATTTACTCTGAGATGTCCCATGAATATATATATATATATATATATATATATATATATATATAAGTATGTGTTGGAACATATATATGTTTATATTGTATGTGTACTTGCATGTATATGTATCTATATATGTATGTGTACATGTATGTATATATATATGTATATATATATATATATATATATATATATATGATGTCCTCAACCAGATTGGATTTGAATTGGATATATCCTCATGTGCAAATTCAAATCCAATCCGGTTGAGGATTCGAACCTGAGTTGAGATGGGACTTACGTAGAGCCGTCACCAACTCACCTACACCAGATGTGTGCGTCCACATACACACAGATATATATTATGCATCGTATCTCGATTTGTTGGTTGACATCCACAGTGATAAGTCCCCTCAGATTTGGGGTAAAATTTTCTTTGGCGCAGTTAACCAGGAGGTGGTACTCGAATTATCATACATTAAAATTGACTAAAGGCTCGTATATTAGTCTAGGGCCATTCCTCACATGTACATAAGTCCATAGATAGAGACTCATGAAGTCCCGTTCTTCTTTGGAGGACTTATTATGAAAACGCATCACATAATTAAAAAATATATTTAGAATTACCAATATAGGTTCGTCTCCTTCATCCCCAATTTGCCCGAACCGAAACCCTAACCCTAATTTTCAGACGGAGGTTTCAAGCGCTTCTGGAGCTCTTCTTCCAGCTCCTCCGATATCAATGCTCCGAAAAAAATGAAGAAGCTCGAGAGGCGATCAGGTGAAGCCGCAGGGGTAATTGGCAAAGGCGACGAACTTCCCCTCGTTCCAGCTCGTGGCTGCTTCGGAGACGGATGTGAAGCTTTGGATCCGTGGCCAGTTCATCAGGTCCGTCATCGAAACAACGTCTTTCTCCGTCTCTGCACGTCTTGCGTACTGAAGTACCATCCGGGCTCCTTCTGTTGCTCTTGCTACGAAGTCCTCGACTCAGCCAAGCGTCCGCCGCTCGTCCATTGTTCCAAATGCCCCTCTGTTTCCCACCTTTGCTGCCTTCCGGACCCCTCCATTGCCCCTCTCTACCTGTGCCCAGCGTGCTATTCCCCTTCCCCGACCTTATTCTCCTACTTCCCTTTCTCCAAGAATTCCACCGATCGGGTTATTGATCTGCGAGCGGCCAAAATCCTCTTCTGTGCTGCACGCCTCTCGGCTGCATCAATGAGCCGGGCAGCAGTCCTTGCTCGAGCTGACGCGGAGAAGAAGGTCAAGGAGGCTGCTTTGGCAAGGAAGAGGGCGAGAGACATGCTTCATAGATCCTTATTCATCTTTGAAAAGGAGAACGAGAAGATTAGAGACTCGGTTAGGACTGCCGTGGCACCAGTTGTCTCTGTTGCTAATGTTGCCCCAAAGGTGGAGGTGGCAGAGCCAAAGAAGAAGGTCCCTAGACCGAGCTGTACAGTGAAAGCAGGCTCCGTGGTTCAGAAGAGGGTCCAGGATAGGGAGAGGGAGAAGTGGAAAAGGTTTAGCGAGCCGATTGGGTTGGTGAATGGGCCAGCACTCGTGGTAGATGGCAATGAAAAGATAAAGGGATATTTGAATTCAGATGCAAAGGACGGTTTGGTAAAGGATGAGGAGAAAAAGGGGATTCTCTCTGGTTCATTCACTGAAATTGACAAGCAAGAGTGAGAAGAGTGGTAGAAGCCATACGTATTTGTGATATCTCAACCCATTTAAGGTGAGCAACGAAGTAATATTTAGATTGTAATTTTTGTGACATTTGTGTTTGTAAGTTGTTGCTACATTGAAAATCGTTTGGTAATGTTAGTTTTATGTTGCGGAAGTACTTGTGAGGTTGCTTCATTTTCATTTAGAATTTAGAAATTTGAGTCATTGAAATAATCTGTTTAGAAATTTAAGAATAAGACTCTGTAGATCCAACTATGGAATTTAAATTGATGGAAGTTGAAAGTTTGTAATTTTATTTCAACAAGAGCACTAATATACTTAAAA